AGGTATGGAAACATTGATGAATTAAAGATTCTTGTGAAGGAACTCCATGAAGTTGGTGTTAGGGTTCTTGGGGATGTTGTCCTGAACCACCGATGTGCACAATACAAGAATCAAAATGGTGTTTGGAATATTTTTGGTGGTCATTTGAACTGGGATGACCGTGCAGTCGTTGCTGATGATCCACATTTCCAGGTACACTAACCGTTGTCTTGGAAGTTCCAGAACATTTTAAGAAGTTAGAGACCAAAAAAGGCAGGTCGGATAGATCATAATTGATACATCTTTCTTCATAATCTGCCATTGAGATGAAAATATTACTGGTAGAGTTCTTTGGTCGCCTGTCCTAAACAAAAGAAGACAGATTACCCAAAAAATGCTAATCCCATCTATTTGCATTTGCATAGATCAAATTGGTGTTATATTCTTTTCTTTTGTTCATTTTGATATAATATTTCTCTAAAACACCTTCAAGTATTTTTTATACTTATACATTGTCACTTATTTGTTTCTTTAGTTTATGATGAAAAGTTCATAAAATGACTACAAACCAATTTGGATTCCTCCATTGAAATATAGAAATATGGACAAGGGATTTAAGTTTCTAACCTTCAGTATTCTTAAGTTGGTAGGGGTCTTTTGTTTCTTTTTCCATTTCCAAGAAAATTTACTATGGATAGCCTTGTCATGGTGAAAGCCCATTTACATATGGCTAGCACACAATAAAGTAAGATTGTGTTATTGGTATTTCATATTGCTGAAGATTTTTTTTTGGTATATTGTTGCTACAGGTAAAAGCACCAGATATGACATGCATATTATATCTCTTCAATGTGTCATGTAAAAAAGATTGACAAATGTCAAAATACCCCCTCTTCCACTTTTCAGTTGCTACTCTTTTAATGTTCTTATATGCCATTGTGCCTATCTCTATTTTGCCCTTTTTAGAGGACATAAAAGAAAGTTCTCTTTGTTTGAATAAATCATTTCCCTTTCGTGTTCTGACTGACATATGGTAGATATATTGACAAATTTTAAATTTTGAGACGAACTTTTATGTGACCTAGTTGGTGAATTTTTTTGAAAGCAGTGACTGCAGCAGCAGCTTTTTTTAACGAATGAAACTACATTTTGCCTGAGCCACCCTGTTTTGTATACCATTCAGCCAAAAATCGATAGAATTATCTATATTGCTATTTAAAGAGTTGGTTCTAAATGAAGTGATGTGATATCATTCTCTATCAGGGAAGGGGCAACAAGAGTAGTGGAGATAATTTCCATGCTGCTCCAAACATTGATCACTCTCAAGAATTTGTAAGAAAGGATATCAAGGAATGGTTACACTGGCTGAGGTTAGTTAAATATGCCAGATTCTTCTTCCTGGCTTTGTGTTATAAAAGTAGCTAGTGCGTACAATATTGAAAAGTAACTGGTGATCAATACAATTTTATTCTTCCAATGTTATGTTGAAGGGTAAAATTCTTGATTCATAATGTTGAAGATTCCGAGATATTTGGTGCTGATTTGAAGGATTATTGACTACCATACCTTATGAAACTATTATTGTTGACATATATTTTATTTCCTTGTTTAGAAGATTAGAATATATTTAAGTTTGGTAGGTAGGATCATTGATATTTTATTTCTGTCCTATAAATAATTGTA